GAGAAAGGGGATGAGGTGCGCGTCGTGTTGTGCAGAGCAAGCCGCTGTCGGGTCTTCAGGCCCCTGTGTGAGTGAGTACGTGGCCGCAGGAGCAGGAGTCTTGGTGCAGACGTGCTGGGGCCGGGGCCTGTGTGTTGGGGACATGGTTCTCATCCCGTTGTCTGCCTTGTGCGGAACCACGGATGGGAGTAACGGGTGCTCAGGTTCCCCGTTCTCTCCGTGCAGGGTGACGAGTGCACATGGTATCGCAGCGGGTTCTCTCTGGGCTCAGAGCCCCGACAGCACTGTGCGATGGGCAGCCTTCTGTGCTCTGCGTAGGGAACAGGAGCCTGGGCGGTGGAGGGATGAAGTTCAGGTGCCAGCGGGGCCTGCCCGGCGGGGGAGGCAGCTCCTAAGTGGAGCTTCATCTGTTGGTCTGTTAAGTGGTATTGCTGGCCTCTGACTTGTATGAAAGCAAATGTGGATTTTACCTGGACACGCCCATAAGACAGCACCGCTCCTGCCCTGAAGGCGCCTCGTAAGAGTTGGTCCCCTTCTGTGTTGCTTGTGCCTTATTTTCAGAATTGAGGTGCCCTAAGCTGCTGGGTGCTGGTCACCATGGTGGCCGTGGGCCATGTGGGTGCTTGTGCGGCCCCTGTGCTTGGTGCGTCCTTGCTGGCCAGCCGACTAGGTGGCCTGCTCCTACCCCTCCCAGCTCTGTCCCCACGGCGCTCACTTACGCTGCCACGAGACCTTGTTGTGCACGGCCCAATGTAAACGCTGCTGCTCCTTGTTCTCACCTGGCCCACTCCTGTGGCCGCTGCTGCCGGGCGGGCGGCCCCTAAGCCCTGAGGGCAGCTCTGATATCCTTAGTGATTGGTGGTTTGTTTCCTACTTTCGCAGAGCTTCACTCCGTTGCCCCACTGACTGACCACTCTGTTCTTTGTCCGAGACGGTCCCAGGGGCTGCTGCTTACACTTCTCCTCTGGGGGCTGTGCTTACTGCTGGCTCTGAAGTGGCTGTGAGAGGAAAAGATGGCTTCCTGCTTTGCTCCAGTGCACCCCTGGGCTGGGGATTTTTGGTAGTTAGATAGCTAAGACTAAACCAGCCCACAAGGCCATCCATCTGTCATTTTGTTAAGTGGCATGCAGCCATGTGGTTTTCTGTCCCCCCTCTTACATAC